AAGACGCACATGGCCGCTTTCATGAGTCGGGGTGGGTGGGTTTCGGGAGCTGTATATCAGAAAGCAGTCAGAGTTCTGTTATCCGAAGGAATGCTAGTCACCGTCTAACCTCGATTAGTTATACAGAGAGGATGCGAATAACGGTAGCCGTGACAGGGCCCACTAGCGAACATGCCAGAATGATTAGTCAGCTGGCTGAATTGTGGAAAACTTGGCGGCCTCAGTGGAACTTAAATATGCGGCAGCACGCGTAAGGCTTAAATTCGGCTATGCTCTAACCACCTCAGCTATGAGGCACGACCACGAGCCGCCAAACTTACTACAACACTTATTGAAATGCTAGCCTGGTAGTCATATGTTGGATTCTAGATCGATTTCTTAGGAAGGCCTAACTGTGCAGTCGGATTATTTTATCAGAATTGGTTTATTGGTTTATTCCGTGCTGTATGATGGGCAAGTAGCTTGATCCAGATACGATCAAACTCAGAGCTCTTTCTCTCCCTGGGTTTTATAGCTAAAGTGGTTGGAACGCCTACTGTACAAAAGTCTTGTGCTTGTTCTCCTGGGTCAGAATGTTATCGAGGCTGCCCATTTTTTCACAATAAGGTAACCTGGATTATTCAAATCGGTAAAAAACACCTAGGGCTATTGTCCTCATCATTGAACTTCCGGTCGCGCGTCACGCATTGTTGTCTAGGTAGGTAGCTGACCTCCAGACCATCACAAGATAGAAGTCGTCCTTCGACCAGCTGTTTGTGCGATATTGGACTCTTATGCTGCAAGCCATCCCTCACTCGAAAACACGAACGGGCTCCTCGTAATACCGCAGACCTTGTGTTAAATTCCAGGCGGGATAAATATTCCCATGCACTCTTCCTAGCCCAAACCTTGACCATAACTCTAGTACTGTACACTTAATCCTACTCCAAATCTTACCTCAACTATAACCTCGACCTTAACCCTAACCCTACTTTCCCTGAAATTTAGCGCAACGCCGTCTAAATTATGGGTGGTTCTTATTCCAATGTCCTAATGGAGAAGGGAGGGGGAGGGGATATAAACAATACCTAACCCTTTTCTACACCTAAATGTACGAAGCGGTGTTTATTCATTCGTCTACACCCCTTCGACAATAACGCGAATGCGAAGAAGTACATGCGGAAATGCAGTTGGACCTTGCGATTTCTTGGAGGCCAGTAGAGATATCCCCCATGACGCTAGAGGGTGAAAGTCATCAAAACCGCATATTCACTCTTGTCGTTCTTCGTAAAGCTTCCCAATTCTTAACCACTCATCGGTATACGGGTGTTCCAAGTTGAAGTTCCCGGGAAAAAACTGAATACTGTTATTCCACAACTCGGCTGAGGGCATATTGAAGCCTACAATTTGCAATAAAGCAGCAGCAACGAGGTCAGCTCGCAGGAGGCTTGAGTATGAACACAAGATCATGAAACACGAGATAGTCCGTATTAGTAACACTCAGTAGATGCTATAGAATTACTTACCTAATTCCCCAATTTGTGTTGGGTGGTCTAGCGATCCACTTAGCGAGTGAGAGAGAGGTCAGCGGTTGAAATTCTGTATCGTACGAAACGCAATCCGGTTCATTACAATGAGAGACATTTCAAACCGCATACTATCACCTAAAACTTTTGGCCTATATTTTATCAGCGTAATCTTAAGGAGGCCACTTTTAAATATATTCAGTTCTTTCGAATATAACGGTTAGCTAGATCTATATTTACTTAACCTTCTGGATTCTGGTGCCAAACAAACAATACTGATTTCGTTTAAGAGAATGTGTTATTTTCATATGCTTTTGAATCTCGAACAATATTTGTTAACGAGTAGCAAAAAAAACGGAGGTTACGAGCCGACTGAACCCGAGAGACTAGAACTTAAATTATGAGTTTTGACGGGGGATTGACCGATGAGGGTAACGAAGTGCGAAGACTGAATTGAGAGAGCTTGATCGCCAGGACTGCCACCTAGGTAACAAATCCTTCTGATCACAAGGCATGCTGGGTTTCTTTTATGCACGTCTTATGTGCCTCAGAACATGCCTTGGCGCCTGTTTGGAATCAAACGTTGAAGTAGAAGCCCACCCCCAAGCCTACTGTTGTGCGAAGCCCTCAGGGGAACCGACGTGTTTGGCATTTTGCGGGAAAAATAAGTTCGCGTTGCAGTTCCAAGCAGAGGAAAAAGCCAAACGGGCACTATTGGTTTTATGCCTTGATTCGGCATCTGTAATTGCGCACCTGCCTGCTTGACATGAATGATCTGCCCGACCCCCCACGCGCACATACAGCCGTGTGCAGCGCACTCACGTGCCTCGGCACTTGTCTAGTTTTATCCGAGACATGGTGGGAGTTAAGCTCGACATTGTTATTCTTTCAGCGCGCGCCTCAGTCACCATATCATCGCCTGTCAAGCTGCCCGATTGGGTGGCCCCACCACCCCCTGCCTTCGCTGCCGCCGTAACAGCAACACCAGCAGCAGCAGCATCGTCGCGCCCCCACCCCGGCAATGCCATTGCTTTTTTCGCGAAGTGTACATATCCTTGGCTGAAGAAG